CGTAGTACAAGCGTCGTGCAGACTCACAGGCACAGCGAGGTTGGGTTGCCAGTCGACGTGTGTAGTGATGTGTCACGACAGACGTGATGATCACATCGTAATCGTTGACGGTCGTAGGCACAGCCGACTCCGAGCAGCTCGTCTCGCGGCGTAGACGTCCTTGGTTGTGGGGACGGCGTAATCGTCAACGGAGGAAGGCACGATGGAGCCGTACGGAACAGCAGTCGAAGAGGCAACATCGTCGCAGGATGTCGAATCGGAAGCGGAGCTTGATACAACATCCGAGACGGAGCTGGGGGGAGCGGAGCTGGGAGCAGCAGAGCTAGCAGGGGCAGAGCTGGGAGCCGAGCTGGGAATAGAGCTGGCGGGAGCCGAGCTGGCGGGAGCCGAGCTGGCGGGAGCAGAGCTGGCGGGAGCAGAGCTGGCGGGAGCAGAGCTGGCGGGAGCAGAGCTGGCGGGAGCAGAGCTGGGAGGAGCAGAGCTGGGAGGAGCAGAGCTGGGAGCAGCCGAGCTGGGCGGGACGGAGCTGGGGGCGACCGAGCTGGGAGGGGCCGAGCTGGGAGGAGCAGAGCTGGGCGGGACGGAGCTGGGGGCAGCCGAGCTCGGAGGCACGGAGCTGGGAGGAATCGAGCTCGGGGGAACGGAGCTGGGAGGAGCAGAGCTGGGAGGCACGGAGCTCGGGGGAACGGAGCTGGGAGGGACCGAGCTAGGAGCGACCGAGCTGGGAGGCACGGAGCTGGGGGGGATCGAGCTCGGGGCGGCGCTCGACGGGAAGAAGACGGGATCCAGAGGCAGGCCGACAATGTCGACGAGCAGAACCGAGTCGAAATTACCGTTACCCGAGTCGCAGAGCACAAAGTCGAGGTGCTGGGAGGACCCGGGCTGGACGGGGAACTCGTAGCTGGAGATGACGCCGGCGCGGGCGTACGACAGACCAAAGGTGGCACCGGTGTTGGGCAGCGCGGACGTGGCCAGAACGGCGGTCTGGGGCTGAGGGATCGTGTCCCTGTAGATGATGGACGAGTCGGGGTTTCCCGTGATGCTGTAGTGTCCTTGTCAGTGTCTGTGCTGCCACTGGCTCTTGTGGGCTGTCCACAATGCGATCTGACTTACGGCTCCTCTGTGGCGAACAGGTAGTTGATCCTGATGGCGGTGACGCCCTGGGGCACGTTGACGAACATGCCGTAGTAGACATTCTCCTCGCTGCTTCCGACGGCGCAGCCCCTGATGGGCTGTCCCGAGTTGAAGCCAAAGTTGGTGTTGGGGGTGCTTCCTACGACGGCATTGGAGACGAGACCGGTGCTCATGATGATACCGGAGGTGAGACCTTGGGGTCCATCTGTGAAGGTGCCGATGGCGCCGGGGTTTGGGACGACGACGGGGTGCTGGCTGAAGGTGAAGCGGCTGTCCTTGACACCAGCAGACTCGAGACCGGCGGCGGGTTGTCCTGGCGTGACCACGATGGCCGTGGACAGGCCAAGGAGCATGGAAGAGGCAATAAGCCTCGCGGTTCCGGCGGCGACCATTTTGAATGATGGAAAATTAAGTAACTGTAAAACGAGTGACTGGTAATGAGTGACTAGGCGATCGCGCAACGAGCAAGAGCTGCTTCTCCCACCACGGTAGTGCCGACGGCGAA